GACGAATTTCGGACATTGTCGGCAAAAACGCGATCTATTCGCTGAGACGATCGGGGTACCGTACCGAAGGTTCAATTCGCCCGAGTCAGGACCAGTCGGAGCTAAAACGGTCTAACACGTGGCCGTTTTAAAAAAACATCAAAACTGTCACGTAACATTTTAATTATAGTGTTATTGAAGAGTTTGAAACTGAACTAGAGAAGAAAGTAGGAAAAATATGCAGAGCTCTACCAGCATTTCACACATTCACGAGTTGCGATTTTAACCCCTCACTTTATAAAAAAGGAAAAATAAGACCGTTCAAAGTATTGAGTAAATTAAAACAATTTGTGGAAGCATTTATATCATTAAGCAGTACATCATGTGATGATAAACATATATTTTTAATCGAGCAAAATTAAGTAAGCCATTTATGCGGAATCGAAAATACGAATATTTCTTGACCGCTGCAAGATTTATAATATTTATTAAAACTTATAAAATGAGAAACGCTGTTTAGTCATTTAATAAGAAATTGCTTAGAAATGGAATACTTCGAATTTGCATCCGTGTGAAACAAAATTACACCAGTTATTTTTTAAGAGGTGTAACGTCGGGCCTTAATTTTAGCTATATACAATAAGTTTTTCTTTTAATTTATAATTCTTTCCCTAATTTCGGGGACAATTTAGAAAGTAGTGCGAAAATAGGATAGGAAAAGATCTTTCGGCATCGGAGAAAGAGAAAGTCCCATAATGCAAAGGCCGAACAGAGGGCTCGCGATACGGGGCGCTCTTCCCTATGTCGCGCCCATGCCGGGTTTACACAAGATGGTCATAAAGATATTTTTTGATTATACGTCGGAGGGCTACGGAATTTTACCTACATTCTGCTTCACAAAACTCGGCCTTTTAAAGACTCAAAACAAAATTAACATGAGAAAGAAATTTATTGCAAAATCTAATGATATCAAAAAGAACAATACGCGAAAATATAGACAAAAATTTTAGCCTCTGAAAATTCCTCACGTATTATTCCTTTAGAAAGATAGTTTTAGCGCAATTTATGAAAATACTTACGAATTTTAAAAAGTTTTTTTATCGAATAAGATGATTAGAGCTACACGTAAAAAGAATATTCTTGCCGCAAAAGATAGCCATAAATGCGAGCATTGTGCGATGTTGAGTTGTGATTGAATATTCAATAATTTATATTGATTTTATTGAATAAATTAGCATAAATGAATACATCGAATTAATATGACAATAGATTATTATAAGGGAGTTTTTAAAGTTTATTGTGCGAAACTTGCCCTGAAGGAAAAATTCAAAACGTGATTATCAATAATAAATTAATTAAACACTGTATCATGCTAGATATTAAGATAAATTGAATAAATATCAACAGCTATGTAAATGGTCTTAACACAAACTATAATATTAATGTACACAATTAATGCACGACATTGACGATAAAAAATTGTTAATTAAAACTACAATAATGAAATAAGAAGACAAAAAAACATAGATTTTGAAATTGATTTAAAGATATCAATTAAAAATAACAAAAGAAATTTGTCATTTACGAGGGTGGTCCGATAAGTACTTAGCCTCACCGTCCGATGGCGCCACTCTCGTAAAAGAAATATTCTATCACGTAGTACAACCTTCTCGATGGTTACTGTCAAGATTTCAGCCGGATCGGAGTTGTAGTTTATTTTTGAGAGCGTATGAAAGCAAGTGTGTCCGTTGGTTTTTGAAAAATGGAAAAAGAGCAGTATCGGTCAGTGATTCGATTCTTGTTTTTGGCAGGGAAATCGCGCAGCGAAATCAAAAAGCGCTTGGATGCTGTGTACGGTGACTCTTCTCCTTCGATGGCGACCGTCAAAAATTGGTTTAACGAGTTTCAACGTGCTCGCACGTCGATTTCTGAAGAGCCACGTCCAGGTGCTCCGAAAACGGCTACCACGGATGATAACGTGACAAAAATTCACGATCTCGTATTGGCAGATCGACGATTGAAGGTGCGCGAGATAGCTAAGATCGTAGGCATCTCAAAAGACCGCGTGGGTCATGTCCTGCATGAAATTTTGGGCATGAGAAAGCTGTCGGCGCGATGGGTGCCGCGTTTGCTCACTCCTGACAACAAGCGCAACCGTGAGACAACTTCAGAGCAATGTCTGACGCTGTTTAAGCGCAATCCGGAGTTTCTGCGTCGTTTCGTGACAGTCGACGAAACATGGATCCACTAGTGTACACCAGATACCAAGGAACAGTCGAAACAGTGGACTTTACCCGGCGAAAGTACTCCGAAGAAGGCGAAGACTGCCCCATCGGCCGGAAAAGTGATGACCACCGTTTTCTGGGATTCACAAGGTGTGATCTACATCGACTACCTGGAGAGGGGCAAAACGGTCACAGGGCTGTACTATGCCGAATTATTGGGCGGATCCGACGTCGAATTGCAGAAAAAACGGCCCCATTTCGCGAAGAAAAAAGTACCCTTCCATCATGATAACGCAACGGCTCACACCTCCGCCGTCGCCATGGCCAAATTGGTCGAATTAGGCTACGAACTGCTGCCCCATCCACCGTATTCTCCAGATTTAGCCCCGTGCAACTTCTTTTTGTTTCCAAACTTGAAAAAGTCACTCGCCAGGCAGAAATTTAAGTCGAATGAGGAGGTAATCACTGCCACGGAAGCCTACTTTTCAGACCTCGAGGAAACGTATTTTTCAGACGGGTTAAAGAAGTTGGAGCATCGGTGGGCCAAATGTATCGAACTAAAAGGAGACTATGTTGAAAAATAAAACGCCACTTTTCCAAAATTTTCGTTTTTCTTTTGTAGGCTAAGTACTTATCGGATCACCCTCGTATGTGTGAGCGATCTCGATTGATATGTATGGATATGTGTAGCGTTCATGTTCATAGGTAAAGACTTATAATAATGTTAGATAGACTTGATTAAATGACTAATTATCGAATCTGATTCTGTTAACTGCACTATCAATAAGTTATATTTATTGGAATAATTCAATAAGGATCTCCATCCCATACGTATGAAATCTTATACGATTTATTATTTAATAATTCAAGAGCTAAAGCGCATTTTATGGAAAAGAAATTGAAATTTGCAAGCATGGCGTGGATAAATAATCTTTTCTTATTAATTATTCTCGCTTTTATCTTCTCTAACTTTGCAAGTTATTTACTTATGCTTAGAAATTACAATAAAAATCATTTTCAGGACTATAGTTTATCAGCCTTGATAGCAACAGAATTAAAACATCGAGCACGGCCGTGAAAGCGAAATTAACACACCTCGATATGTATAACATTTTTTTGCTACTTAGCCTAGCTTATACATCTTCTGAAACTTACCAAATAACTTATTTATAATGTAAATATTATAATAATAAATCTGTTAGAACTATATGTTATGTGTTTTTCATCGGTATTCAATTGTTTACCACGGTTGCTTCTGAGAGTACTCACGCCTTCACCTAGCCTTATGGCTATTTTTTTATAATGACACACAGAAAGTCTATTTTTAACCAATTTCTAAAACTATAATCGATAAGTTTTTTCTTCATAAAACTACACGTTTGACCGCCCGCCTATGCTCACCGCCCCTACTGCGCCTAATTTCTGATGACTGACACTCTCAAATTATTCATTGGGTGGTAATGTAAAAACAGCTGCAAATGCTATGAAATTAATGTTATCTTTAAGTGACGGACAATTTATGGTTGCTATTGTCTGTCTTACAGAAGTATGACTTGTACACTACCATTCACTTGTTTTTTACAAACAGTTTAAATTGATTTGAAAAGCGTTTGAAAACTGTTCCATGAAATTTTTGCACTTTAGCAGAAGAAGCGTGACAACGTTAATCAAGTTTTCGCAAAAGTATTTATAGAGGTTGAAATAATTGCTGATATTAGAGACGGATAAAGGTACCTCGAACATGTAGTAGGCAAATTAATCGTACGAATTATTCAATAAATGATCCAAAAACTTACTGTAAATAATCAGTATTTATATGTCTTCTTCTTGATAATTTACTGCAAGATTATCGTTTACACTTCTTAGAGGAAACTTTAGCTATATATATTTTACCATTCAGTTCGTTAATTCGAGTACATGGAATAATCCGAAACTATTAAACAGAGAAATTCTAAAACATGCAGATAAATAATATGTATTTTGATAAATCAATAAATATAGTAAAATAACTTTTGAATTAGATTTATGATTGATTAAATAACAAGTAAGACAGTATGATAAATCGATAGATGATACTCAATTGTTTGAGATATTAGATAAATCAAGACACTCAACGTTAAATACGTTGTTCAGAATTTTCATTACCAACGCTGCCAGTACAGAGAGAAGCTTCTCAATATTAAAATACATAAAGACGTGATTAAGAGCTGGCATGTCAGACGAAGCTGACGGATTTAGCATAGACGCCAATAAACTATGAAATTAAGATGGACATAAAACGAATGATCGACCAATATGTACATTAAGCAAGCATCGAGTTGAATTTATTTTGTAAATAAATTACGTGACGTCATGTTTATATGTTTATAATTAATAACAAAATTAAGAATCATTATGCATGCTTTTTTTGTCAAATTTACTTTTTTCGTCTTTTAAGGTACTGTTCCAGCGACCACTTCCCGATGACATATGTGTCTGAATCCACCCCGACCTTTTTCATCCCTTATTTATTATTTTAATACTATAAGCATTTTGACACATTAGTAAATTATGCAATTTACAAAAAATTATAAAGATAATTGACTTTAGTCAAATTATGAGTGACATTTAAATTTCATTTATTAACAAATAACAATAATCATAATCATTTCAAGATGTAGATCATTTTTCAATATATCCCATAAATATATATCTAATTTCAATAGATATTCTATGATTGATAAAATATACTGAATGTCAATCAATATTAATATGATTGATAGTATAAAGATATATCCATATAAATCAATAACTAACCTTCCTTTTCCTTCGTAATTTTTTTTTCTTATCTTCTTTTGTAAACTTTCTATATTCAGGTATTTCGCCTTTTTCAATAAGATTTATAATAATTGCATACAATCTAGGTTCATCACTGTAGCAAGTGAAAGGAACAGTTTGAAATATATAATCCATATCACCCTTACCTTAAATAATTAAAAGCAAAAATAGATATGTATCTACGTATGTATATATAGTATAAAACATAATTATGCAAAATTTGAATAATTTACTTCTCAAATAAGCTGTTTTTAAATCATTAAGTTCAGTTGACGATCCTTTGTAATTATTTTCATAAGTTTTAATATCTTCGATTGTAATTTTTTTGAAAAGTTTAGACCAATAATCAAACCAATTGTTTAGAATAACTTCCTTGTCATCATATTGACCAGTCTCATCATATATTTTCCGTTTTTCATTGTCACTCAAAATAGAATGGACTATACTAAGTATTTTAAACTTTTCTGTAGCTACATTTTTTAAATTATCTTCAACACGATCTGGGTGCATAAGCAATGATAAACGATAATAAGCTTTCTTAACTGTAAAAATTATAAAAATTACAAATTGAGGTCATCATTTTCAAAAATATAATTTACAGAATTATTAAAAAAATTATTATTAAAGGAATATTTGGTGTTCATTTATTTAAAAATATTTATCTTGATATAAATATAAACATATATCATTTTTAAATTTTTAAGTTTTTCTGTAAATTATTAATTATTGCTTTCTTTCTTTCTATTCACTACTAACGATATTACCAACATTCTATATTTGAGATAAAATTTTTTTACAATATTCTACTATAAAATATCCAGTTGATTCAAATTCATTTGCTTTAATCAATTTTAGTACACAATTCAAACAAATGGAAAAATAGTGCAAAGTCCACAATAAGTCTAAATCGTTCATACAGAGTTGATAGTTTAAGTAAGAATAGAATTTTTTGAAATATCGTAACGATTCAAATGTTAGAGATACTCACTTTGCGTCTTGTCTGCATTTCTTGGGATTTCCAGAACATCATAGAAATTGCAAGATCCAAAATAACGCTCGCATAAATTAAAAACATTATTGTCAGCCATATTTACATATGTAAAATATGATGAAATCCAATACTATTGAATAATAACAATAGGTCACAAAATTTTATTCAATGAATTCTGTAAAGACGAGCATTAACAAACAGATTATACATTAAAACATATAAGTATTATTTAAAAAAAAAATTCTATATTAGTGTGATAGAGACCGATTATTTTGATCAATTTATATACATACATAATTAACATTCGTTGTTAATTTAATTATATTGTATTTTGAAAACAAAGTTACGAGGTACGTAACTTACGGGTTAAGGACAGGATACCGATTTAATTCGGTGTTGGGCGATTCTGTCAAAAAGCTTCCAGCAGTTGACTTCAGACCTCACAATTTTCATACAGCGGGTAAATTGTGAGGTCTGAAGTCAACTGTTGGAAGTTTCTTGACAGAATCGCTTAACCCTGATTCAATTTTAATCCTTCTTTAGGCCCTCGCCACATATACGCATACGCGCGCGTACGAGGGCGTACAAACGCGTACAAATCGCTAAAAATTTTGATAATACCAACAACAGAAAGTTACTACTTTTCCACGCATGCCCCAAACGAACACACTTACTCCCAGAACAAAAGGTCTTAAAAGTTAGCACCCAATAATTGAAATATTGAATAAATCTATAAACTAATTACACCATTCGATTGGGCGGCTTTTAATTATTCACATGTCATTTGAGCGTCGATTATGCTCATTTTCTTTATTATGTGAAAAACAGGTAAAATTAATTATGGGTGCTTGCACTAGCACCAAAATTTGATTCTTTAAATATAGTGGTTTATATCGTGGAAATAATTTTTTACAATATACCAATCGTTAGTGCGTCTCATAGATTATTGGCACCCAACATAAAATTATTAAAAAGTTTATCATTTAATTAATTAAAATAAAATAATATTCTTGCGTACTTAAAAAAGTTATTATGATATTGTTTTGCGCATGCGCCTCGAATGGAACATTGTTACTCAGTCGGAGACTCAATGTCATCTAGTAAACCGAAGTAAACTAAATTCAACTGAAGCATATTGATTTAATTCAGCCATACTGAGATACAATAATTCAATTAAACTTGAAAACAAAACCAATCGTACAGTGTACAGATATATTTATTTACTTGAACATGAAAGAGTTATTATCAGACTAGTAGTTAAATGTTCAAATTGAGTTCCAATTGAGTAATATATTTTTTATTTACTCAATGAAAAAACGTCTCAGTGTCCACCGTCGAAGCTGATGGACACTGGACGAAAGGCGCACTCTAACTGAACTCGTGAACTAAACAACAATGCTTCAGTTGAATTTAGTTTACTTCGGTTTACTACCCAGATAAGAGCGTGCCGGCACGGTTCGGCACGCGCGTGTTCGTCACGGCGTGCCGTCATAATGCAGGTACAGTGGGAGCACGAAAAACGACGCACGCCGTGCCGTCAGAATGCGGGCATAATGCAAGTCTCAAATGCCGCACACCGTGCCGTTAGAATGCTGTCATTCTGCGGTCACGCAAAAAAATAAAATTCGAATAGGTATTACGACGTGGGTTGATTATTTCTCCATATTTATGTATTTTTAATAAAATAAATAATTTATTTGACAATAAAAATATATGAAATATATATCTCTGTCTTTATTTCTATGTAATAATTTCTTTTATTGTATGCAAAATACAAATTTGAATATCCATACATATACGTTCGATCGTCATCGATTAATAACGATTTATTTGAAAATCGTTCTTTTAAAATGTTTAACGTTTTTTACCAGTAATTGTGATTGCATTGAAAGTAATTAAAAATACTAATTGTGACTGCTATTAAACCGTAAAATTATTGTGAGAGTGTTCCTTGTGTTGTGGAGTCGTAGTTGAAATAAAAGTAAGTAAATATAAAAATTATTAACATTTTTCTTAAAAATTCTACTAGAGGATAAAATAAGTCAAAGATTTAGCCTACATGATATCCGTCGCGCACGGCGCGGGATATATGTGAAAACTAAACTCTGAAGGGTTAGGTTTGAGTAAATGTCAGTCACGTACATTTTTATTTTTAAATTTGTCGTCGAATATTGTTTAAATATGTTATTGAATGAATTGGATTTTATTAATAAAATAGTTTTAATAATTATAATAAAAATGGTCTTCATAGAATGATTGTAAAAAAAGAAAGATTAAGGTTTGATGAAGGATAATTAATCAATATTTCAAACAGCGTCTACAACGAAATTGTATGTGCAAATATGAACCAGTTGTCTGTTTACACAATTAATATTATCATTCTTACTTCTACTAATTTACAGGTTGCTTATTTCCGTTATTTGAGAGGATTTAATATCCAGGATTGTATCTTAAAATATTTATTGGAGGCCATTGATATAAACGAAAATATAGTTAATGGCATAATTTACAAAGGAAAGGGGCCTAATCAGCTAACGTTGAAGAGAACAATGTTTTTTAACGCCTGTCAAGGTAAATATAATCAAATCCTATTTGTTTTAATGTTGAAATTATTATTTTACGTATATATACATGTTTTCAATTCGCAATTAGCGTGAAGTTATAGAATCTTATTTGCACAATATTTTTACAGATGCTTTAAATGAGAACGCCCATTTTATTATACCCACTGAAGCAATCGTTGACATGACGTTTACTAAGACCTTGAAGAGTCTAAAAGAACGATTACGACGGAAGCTGAATGTTCAAGGTAGACAGCAGAGGCAGGAAGGCAAGGGTCAGAAGATGGAGCCTAATTTAAAAGGTACATAATTTTAAGTATTACCCTCATAAAAAATTGATGGATCCCGTCTTACATACATGTTATAGTGTACTATAACACGTAGTATACACTAGTGTAATTAAATAAAATAACAATTATTTATAAGAGAAATAATAAATATATTTATTTAACGTAAACAACATATAAACTAAATCAACTAACAACATACAACAACATATCAACTAAACTAAAACAAGTCGCCTAGCAATACTTTTAACGGTTTTTGAAAGGAATATATAACAATATTTTTTTAAATATAAATAAAAACACTTTTTTCTCCATAGACCAAGCGATTGAAGAGGACCAATATCAAGAGGAGGACTCATCGGAATTATCAGATAACAAAGTAAATTGCGACACGGAGGAAATACACGGACTGGAGAACGAGATGCCGATTTTTCACGACTCCGCAACTACGTTCTTTGGTACTCCATATTAAGTATATATTTTATTTTATCTTCAATAATTTTTTTTATTAAAAGTTTTCTGAATTTTATTATATTTGTTTTATTATTTTTAATTTGTTCTAATTTCATAAATATATATATATATATATATATATATATATATATATATATATATATATATATATATATATATATATATATATATATATATATATATATATATATATGTATATAATATTAAAAAAAAACAAAAAAATAACAAAAAACAAAAAAATTACAAAAAAAATTAATTAATTAACATGTGATGTCCGGGTCACTATCTCAGGTACATCTGAGGCGGACGTTATCTCAGGTGCTCTATTTGGTTTGCGTGCGTACGCTTAAACCGGGACGAGCAATTGGAGAATCAGAGCTTTTCTATTTCGCGTTTCGCGTTGAAAGAGAGAAAAATAAAATTGGACTACAAGTCTCCCATCAAATACCAGGATCCAATAGAATCGGGACTTGCATGTGAATATCCCAGACCTTGCCAGAATTGTCACATAAAAGAATTTAATTTTTCTTTAACGGCGCGACTGTCTTATAGAAAAGTATCCCAATCCTTGCTGAAATATTTTTCGAAGACTTGTTTTTTTCGAATTCCGGTCTAGCTATTCTAATAGAAAGGAAGAGGAGAGATAGCAATAAATAAAATTCGTTTAGACTTACTTTTCTTTTATTTAATGTAGTTGACTGGTACTTGGAGAGTCTGGACCTGGCACTTGGTCGAACTTCGTAAAATAAAGAAAACTTATGAGCCTTGCGAGGAGCGAGAGAGTGGGCGATTTTCGCTTGCACACGCCCTTTTAAAGCCTGGGGGTGGTTGGGAGGAAAATCCCTCTTTCAGTCCCTCAAAATTTGGGAAGAGTGGAAATGCCAGTAAATTCTAATTGGCTGACTGAGATTTTCCCTCCTGTTCTCTTTCGGTTTTCGGGCCCTAATTGGTTCAGGGGCGTGGTAAGAATTGGGGGCGCGCGTTCAAGAGTATGGGCCCTATCTCGTTAGATGGCTCTCCAAATACCATTTTCATTACAGATTTTCTTATAATTATTAATTTATTTGTTATGTGAATTGTTACAATTAATTCTTAATAATAACGCAAGTTTCTTAATATCTAACATATTTTACGCGAAAATCTCTAATCCTACATGTTTACAATTAGTAACTTAAATAATTAACTAAATTCGTTGTTTAAATAATATGGAATGAAAAAGGGGCATTATTTAATTATGGACTATATAATTGATTTACTAAAGTTCATTCAGGTAACTGTTTTTCGACTATTTATCTAATTTCCTAACTTATAATTTCAAAACTTTGGGATATTTTCGATGATTGTGCGGTAACTGCGTTTCTAATCAAAAAGTGTGCGGGAGGTTTCAAGAAGCTGCGAAATTCTCCTATCATGCTATTATTTTCTTAATTCATTTATACAAAAATAATTATTGAATTTTTTCTATATAGCAAAAGTTTTAGCTTCTAAAAGTGGAAAACTTTTGGGTGAAATCCTGTAACAGGATGTAGGCAGAATTCCGCGGCTCCTTTACTCTATATCTAAACCTACTCAAAAAAAAACTTTACGATCTTTCGGAGTAAAATTCGGAAAGCGCGCGACAACGGGACGGGTATTTTCACGTATCCTCCAGCCGCTTCAGCTGAATGCTCTCCCTTTGCTCATTCGCGGAATTAAAATTTAAGTTACGTATTGAACACGCAAAAGCACACGAGAAAAAAAATTAATTTTATTAATAGTAAACGGCCCGACGTTACACCCCCCCACTTAAACGGTTACTTAAGGAGCGCAGCGAGGCAAAGTAATCGCTAATTAAGATGTAATTGTAGAGCATGGCAACGAAGATTTATTAGCATTCATTGTCGGGAAAAGAAACTACTGTTAGTTTGAATTGAGGACACTGGATTTTCTTTTGGTACATTGGCATCTGTTTCTTGTGTCTTAACTGGTATATAATGGGGTATCTGCATTGGTATAGGAACTCTACTTATTTCTTCTTGAGATTTTTCATTTTCTTTCTGCATTGAATGGCCTAGGTGGATAAGGAAAGTTGTGAGACTATTCCATATGGCACCAAAAAGTTGATAGGACCACCCATAAATACTATGTAAAGCCATACCATTGATGA